AATTAACAGCAGCAATTCACTTCATTGGGATCAGAGTTCAGGTATTTAATGTTTCCAACAATCCCAAACTTACTTTCTCACTTCATATATAATTACATCTGGATTATATCTTCTAGCTGCATCAAGTATTAGCATAATTTTCATTACCTGGGCTTTGGGGTTGGGGCTTTTTTTTCCCATTCTTCCATTAAACTAAGCCATGCTAATACTGTTGACTGCTGCAAGAGAGGTTTATTCTTTGGTGCAAATGGAGAAACTGTCACAGGCAATTGTTAGGCTGACGTAAAACAGCTCGTTGAAATGTCAGCCTGGAGTTACAGCAAGTACGGCACGTGAAGGATGACTTTCAATTTGCTCCCATGAACAATGTTTAATGATGCTTTATGCAGCTTTATAAAAGCACCTTAACACCTTTCTGATCTAAACCAGAACACTTAAGTATTCCAAACCAACAGCAGACCACCCAATACCTTTGCCTGGAAGCCTCAGCAATCCCATCTTTAGAGGGACATACTCTTAATATTATGAACATTTTAATTGCATTTTGATTTTTATCTCATGCTCCAGCAAAAAACTATTGCATTTAATTAAATAAGTAATGTGGTAGTTAAATATTAAATAAACATCTATTTTTGTGTATACATACAAAGGAATGCAAAGCATTCTTGTAATCAATGCATCAATGTTAATTAACCATTAACACAGAACGACAAAACTTAGGAATAAGAGCACAAAGGTTACCAGGAATTAAAGAAGTCAGGCTCTGAAAGCACAGCACTGCATTGCTTGTTAAAACCATGGGCTCTTCAGAGCCCAAACTTCCACTTCCCCCAAGCAGGCAAGCACATGCTGAGGTCAGGCTGGGTGATCCAGTGATCCCAAAGAATTCAGATAGATTCTCCTAATGCTGCAGAGCTTACTAGTAAATTCCATTAAAATATCCACTAAAAATCATCTCCATATATCATTTACACAGCAAAACACAGTAATACTATGATGAGCATTTATGCTTTCATTTAGGCCTGGCAGAGCAATGAACTCTTCTTTTGTGTATTACTAAGCAGACCCATCCTGAAAATACAGTTTATAGAAAAAGCCACTCACCCTTTTTGAAGCAAAGACACATATTGATGGTTGACAAATGGCTGAAGTGTTTGGAGCTTCCTGAGAAGTTTACTAGAGGAGCTTCTGACTCTCCTTCTTTCTTTACAGGATGTTGTACAATTCAGCTCTAATTCCAAGCTCCAGTCTTATCACCCTGACTCACTTCAGCTGACATGAATTGCCTGAGCACCTGTTTCACTTGCAGTTTTTGAGTCCAGGCAATTACAATTACTGCTGCCTACTGCTGTGTGAATGGTGGGGGTTTTTCAAGCAATGACCTAATGCCTGGAGCTCTGGCTTGCCCTATGAGGTGAGGCAACAATTTGCCTTCCCAGTACATGGTAGCTCTCCATGGTCCTTCAGTCTCTTCCATCACTTCATCCATTATGCCCAAATTCATGAGGTTTTACTAATCAGTACTGGCAATCTCAGTATCTGTCTCTCTCTAACTTATAAACAGATTTCAAACCTAAATAATGTTTAATCTTAAACTATTTTAACACAGGTGAAGAAAAACAGCTACCAACAGTAAGACTCACTTCAGGGAGGTAAGAACGAGCACCAAGGCTCAGCTGAAGAGTTTCAGCGGTGCATCTGTAGTCAGAGTGCTGGCAAAAGGACTACAGACTAAACCAGAACAGCAAAACCCAAAATACAGTTTAAACTTTTAAATAGAATCACATACAGAAATTGCATTACTGAAAAATTTGTCTTGGAAGCAGGATCATTATCTGAAAATCAGCTTCACAGTGAAAGGAGAAGATAGATAGTGATGATATGGCTTCAACATCCAGCTCTGCCAGAGATTCCCTATGTGAATTTAAACAAAACAGAAATGTTTTGCTGTTCTCCATTTTAGAAACCAGGAGCAGCAAATACCTCTTTCCTCCCTCTCCTGCCATCTGCCTTTATTATTTACATAGTGGTGCTAAGAAGACACACAGACACGACTTAGTCAAAACACAGGTACAGTCCTTCATTTCAACAGGAGTTCACGATCCTGGTGACTCAGGCACCTCCCTCTCTTAGCATCCCCAAAGGAAAAAAGGTAAAGTTCAATTAAAAGGAAAGTTTTCACACTTACACTGGGAACCAAATTTCTTTTCTGTGAGGCAGAAAGGCCTAGTGACCTTCCAAGAAAAGGTTTTAAAACCCCTAAATTACTACTATTTGAAGTCATGAGTCAGATCACTGCCAAGTCATGATTTTTCACGACAATATATCTTCCACTTCATCTGTCATTTATTCCAGTATTACTTGTACTACTTGATATTCATCAGGTGCTTCTTATACAAGAGAAAAGAAGGAAGTGATAAGATTCCAGGCAACTGAATGTCTGAAAACAGTGAGCAAGGAAAAGAAGCAGCAGCGAAACACAATGTATGTGTAAGTAACTTCCTGAAGGACTTGGCAGCCCAGTTGGTTTATCCCAATTCAAATACTAAGTACCATATTCATACACAAAGGAATAACTTGCTGTATTTTCAGACACACTGATCTAGGATCTCATCACTTAAAAATCAGCAGCCTTATGTGACCAAGTGCCAAAAGTGTTAAAAACCAAATGTGCTTCCACAGATGTTAAACACCAGTGTAATGCAATGTATCTACAATTGCTAGAAAGCAACACAGAAAAGATTTCATTTGGATTCAGAATGGCCACTGCACTTGTTTCCAAGTGAGTAGAGATTCCTTCCCCAACAGTAAAGCTTGACATAACCCAGCTTACCATGGGTATCATGGATTCTTAAAACCACTTGAACACAACCTGTCATTTCAGAAGAGCAAGATAAGTAGTCAAGCTATATTTCAGCTTATTCAACGACACTGCCAGAAATAACAATTCCAAATTTTTGACACAAATGCTGGCCATTTTCCTGCATGAGCATCCATGTCCTGAAAAAAAGTCAATAAAAGCTGGAATACCTCTCTAAAGATCCAAAAATTATGCCTACTGATGGAAGGACAGCAATAATAAGAACAAGGCTGTGCTGATTGGCTTGTTCCTAGCTTACTGGATAATGTTTGGCACAGAGCAGTATTAGTCTACATATAACATTTGCAGAGTGACATGTATGAAAAGATAAATGTTACTGACCAAAGCACAAAATTACCAGAGAATTATCTGTGGTAAAATCCTTAATTAGGAAACAGTGGCTTGACAAGGCAAAGCTAGGATGGGTAACTACCATCTTAACTTCTGGGAGAAAACCAGGGAAATTTCATGCAAAACAATCCATAACTAAGCAAAAGTAACTAGATAAATCCAGGAGAAGTATATTTTTTTTTTTAAGCAAAAGACTATGAAGTGGACATCAAAAGTACATAATTTGCTTTAATTTAGTGAATAGGAATGCACAGCTCTCTGACATGAGAAAATCCACAGAAGTGACAGACTTGGTGAAAGGCACAAGTTCAGCCAGCTTCTCCCGAACAGGAATTCTGCACTTGATCCATCCTCTAAAGGGAAAGGTAAAGTTCCATTAAAGTCCTTCTGAAATGACTGAATCCACATTTAAATAGAACCCCAAACTAGTCATGCACTTCTCTACAAGGTTCTCTACCAAGAAATGCCCTGTTTAATGACCCTCCTAACTACTGTGGAATTCTGCCACAAATAAAACTTTTCAATAAATAACAACTTCATCAAGTATATAAAACAAATTTCAACAGTTAAATCTTCCTCCTTCTTCAACAAGCTTCCCATTTTGCCCTATTTCACCTCCTTTCTCCTCTCCAGGATGATGCACCATTGTTTGATGAGTCTCCACTATTATTAGCCTTTCCTTGCTCACAAATAAGAAGAGTGACAAAAGTTTTCCTTGGCTGAGATTAGTCTAGATTGACCATCAACTTTCCTGGTGCTATGAGGAAGAATGGGTTTGATCAGCACCAAACCCTTTAAAGGAAACCTTTGTACTTCAACAACGTCTCTTTCTAAACCTACCCACTTTTTTAGAAGTTTAAATTACTAATGATTAGATTATGAGACATTAGTAGAGGTGCTAAATATTCCTAGTCACAGCAAGCAGACAGAGCACACATTTTCCTTGCAATGCCCTTTATTTAAAACACACATTAAAAGAATTCTGTGCTCTGAACATGAGATTACTTGTGCTATACTCGAGTTCCCAGTACTTTAGAAGGTGCATTGGACCACCAGATTCATTCCTACATAGCTGTAGGATGCCAGAGCATGCCTAAATCACCTATTTTCAACAGCTATCATGTTCTAGATGACCTGCACTCAATGGATCTATATTAATGCATGTACTAAGTTGAATAATTTGGAAAGGTTTGGTTTTCTCCACATCATTGACATCCTCACTGCATTATCAGTCACTAGAACAGGCTCCCAGGAAAATGGTTATGACACCATGCCTGTTACAGTTCAGGGAGCATCTGGACAACATTTAGTCATATGGATTAGTTTTAGGTAGTCCTGCAAGAAGCAGCAAATTGGACTATATGATCTTTCCATGTCCCTTCCAACTGGAGATATTCTGCAATTCTATTATTTACTTTGTAGTTACAAGAAGGCTAAATCCATGCACACAGCCACTGAGCAGAAACAACCCTCTGGAGAAAAGGATACAACAAATTAGCATAAGCAATAATGGGAAAACACTACTGGTAATGTCTTTAGATCATACCTGTTCAAGAAGAGGAGCAACTTTTTAAAGAGCCATTTTTAGGTAAAGGAATTAACTATTTCCATGCATGATCATTAGGGGAAGAAATGCTCCCCCAAAATATCTGTATTATATCAAATAAATTATTGATTCCCACCCAGTCAAACACATTCTTTTAAGAGTGCCTGGATTGTTTTTTCTCTCTCAGAGAGTACAAGAGCACTCAGATGCCTAGAAAAAGAAACAAAATTACAGACTACAGCATACTGTAACACAAGATTATCTTTATTTCAAAATTGTACAAAGTATAAACATAAAGATATAATTACACTGAAGTAAACCCTGCTCTTTAAGTATCTGAATACTTCAGCAATGATATGGTCATGAAAAAATACCTTTATTGTTCCTCATGAGGAAATTTTATCTGATGGAGCGATACATCATGAAATCAATTGTGGTACATCTGGGGAATTTGCCAATGGAGCTCTCCTCCACAGGGGTGTACACTTTGATTTGCCTCATGTGAGTGTCCCTCCCATTCTGGTGGTTTGCCAGAACAGCAATCTGGATCATAAAGGTGCGAATGGGCTTCTTGTGGGTGTCTGTCAGAGGAACATGGATCCAGCCACTGGGTTCCACTAATTCCAGCTGCTGCCAAAAACAAGACATAAGAGCAAAACATTCAGAAACAGTTCACATACTTCATATAAATCACTACATATTAAACCCATTTAATAAAGTAATCTTGTTAATCACATTTTAGTTAATTTTCAAAATAATTTGAAATAACAGAGTTGAATACTCATAGTGGATTTACTGCTCATGTAAATGTATACAAATTAATTTGGTTGTCTGCAGTTGTGTTTGCTTTTGCCTTTCAGAATCTGCTCCTCATTTTGTGCCCTAATCCTAAAATAAAAATTAATATAAAAGAATACAGACTTCAGTATAAATTTAAGAAAGTAAAAGTGTAGCATTTGGACCTTCTTACTGAAGAACAATACTCAAACATGACAAAATAAGCATTTTAAATTGTTTTATCTAGGCACTCTGAAGTACAATTGAGTGACTTATGTAGGAAACTAAATGAACACAAAGTTCTGGATTTTCAGAAATTCCTTAGATTATTAGGGGGACTGGAAAAGAGGAAAAGGAAGGTGACAGAGAAAAAAATAGAGGATACCTCAAACTTCATCTAATGTATCATGACCAATTAATAATTGCTGCACAGGCTTAAATCACATTCTAATCACATTTAACTTGCCTTTTATACAACATACCCAGTGTGACATGATGATTTTATCTTTGTCCATTTTAATCCTACACAAACCAGTGTCAAGGCAAGTAAAGAACAGCATTTTTTTAACTCTAAACCACATCACTGACACAAGAGATTGCTGAAACAAACTGGATGCTATGCAGAGCATGCTAACAGCTTTTGTTTAAAACTAGCTGCCCAACTTCAAAGCACAGCTCAAAACACACATGGAAGAGCACACAAGTAAATAAAAGTCCTGGGGGGGAAAGAAAACAAAACACAAAACAATTGTCCACCAGCAAGTGGATTCACACAGCTAAGCAAATAAGAGTGCTGTTCTTAGCAGCTGAATTCCCCTAAGGAAGATGTATGTGCTTTGAGCTGCTCAAAATTCCCATCTTTCTCCCAAAAATCCTGCATGGCACATGCTGGCAAATGCCTTGTTTATGCTGAAGCTTTCACAAGACCCATCTGAGAGCTACTGGTTCAGAGCAGACACCTTGAGAAAACAACCCAAGAAACAAGTAAAAAAGTTTGATGAGTACTTCAGTTTAAAGTAGCGGACAAAAAAATCTTCTACACCTCCACCTTAAAAGTAAGAACAAGGAAAAAAACCCAACAAATAACCGCAATCCAAAACTCTCCACTGCTGCAGACTCTCCAACAAATTATTTCCAAAGCATTAAATTCACTAAACCTTAGCAGCAAATCATTTCACTCTGGGAGCTAGACATTTCCACAAACACAGTCACTTATTTGCTGTAGCACTGTCCCTTTCAAAAAACTTGATTTTTTTTTCCATAGGAAACTTCAGGTCATGGCTGACTTTACAAGGGGATAAAAAAAAAAAAAAAGATGTCTTGCTGAAGCAGCTTTACAAAGGAGAAATTTATCATGGTGACGTGGCAGTAAACAGCTTAAACAAGGATGCTTTCCATCTTCATAGAAAACAGAGGAGGAGGATCCTCCTAACACTTTATTCAACTACTACTAAGGTCAAGTGACTGTGATTTTGAAGAGAATTACAAGGCTACTGCTAATTAAACTTGCATTTCACTATTATCCTCAGTGTTTACAAATTTTGACTGCTAATTCAAAGTAGAAAATTTGAGCTCAAGAGCTAAGACACTGAGATTTTTGTCCTTAGGTCAGTATGAAACAGATTAGTTAACACTAAGTAACTTTAAAAAAAAAAAGGTAGGAAAGCTAAAAGTATGGCATATTTCCCAATGCTTTGTTTCATCCCTGATCAAAGGAGGTGGTTCTATGTTCTATTCACAGCATGTTATTTTCCAGCCCTGCTACAAAGGCAACCAGTTTGTCCCCAAGTCATTCCTTCACCTGTAAAACCGACAACTGAGGCATTAGGCTCATCAGACTAAAAGGTTCCCTGGCTCCAGGTGTCAAACTTCACGTACTCTGAACTGGTTTTTACTGTTGTGAGTGGAATACAAGATTTTACAGGAGGTTTAGCTCCCACTGAGCTCACTTGCGGTTCTGCATTTGTGCAGAAGTTCTCAAGCCAGCCCCAACACAGAGTGTGAGCAGCCACTTGAGTGCCTCTTGTAGAAACACCAAGACTGAGCACAGACAGCACACAATTCACCAAGCACCACTGATCTGTCTTAGCAACAAAGACTTTTTCTAATTTCCCCAAATCTCAGCTTCCCTTACTCCACATTTCTCAACTTCCCCAATAGATGAATACACAACCTTTACTTGTACAAATCCTGGACTCATCCTCAGAATAGGCCCCTTTCCCGATTCCAGTCAAACAGTTGCCTCTTGGACAAAACACACAACACTTGTGATGAAGTTGAAGGCTAGAGTGTAATAAATGCCAATGTCAGACTGCAATGGTTGAAAAAAGGAAGCTCTTGATTTCTGCCCTCTAACATTGCTGTACTGACATTTGAGACTAACCTTTTTCTTTTTTAAATTGATGCTCACATAGCTCATTAAAACCCTGATACCCACTCAACTACTGAGGTTCAAATGCAACAAAACCAAACTGAACGCTCAGTAGAAAAGGAAGTATTGTTTTGCCAGTATGATACACACATTTTCTGTGACCAAAGGAGTGGTATAAACCAGACACACACACTCTCCCAAATTCTTCTCCTCCACATCTGTCATGCTCTTTCAGATGAGTGAAACATTTTGTGTTTCCAGAGGGCCCAGGTCCGTCACCAGGGAGAAGGAGCAGGACATGGGAAGAGGCAGGGCTGATACAAGACACAATGCTGCCCACTCCTAGCTCCATGTCAGCACCCAGACCCAGCCACCACAACTCAGAGCAGAAGTGGGATGAAATATGTGGCTCTACTCTGCCTGGAGCATTCCCAGTGTGAACAGAATCTAAAGGAAGCTTACTGTGAAGTTTTAAGAAATTCCTATTAAGCCCATGCAAATGGCAATCTTTCAAAGCCTTGTAAACTGGTCTGGAAATTTGGGTGGATTTTTACAGGGAGGCAAAAGGCACATCCTCAACACAAAGGCTGAACTATTGCCAAATTTCAAATCCTTGCTTTAGAGCTTGGGGGCACTGGAGCATCAAAGAAGGACACCAGAATATTCTCACACAAGCAAAACAGCATACTTTTCACTAGCCTTGTTCTTGGAACAGAACTGCCTTGGCTGAAACTTTCCAAAAAATTCAACCCAAAGCAGATATCTCACAAGGAAAAATCTGTCTGAACTGAACTTTGGCAAAAGTCAAAGTAACCAGGAGTTAAGCCTTAAAATGGAAAAGGTCACACAACCTTTAGTACAGGTGGCACTAGCAGCTCCACTCATAATAAAATACTATACTTGAAATCCATTGCAGTTGACTTTGCTCAAAGTCAAGCTTGTTCTTTAAAAGCACAGACCACTGTATGTACATACAGTCACACACAGATATATTTATATTTCATCTCAACTGTATAGCATCAGTCCACTACAAGCAAATACCAGATTAGGTTGCCTCCCTTATTTTTAATCTTATGCAGATCATTAAGACTCAATCATAGTGAAAAACTGTCTTCCAAGAATTTTTTTAAAATGAGCTTTATTACTAATCATCTGAGCAAAATTAAAAATTCAAGATTTCTTTCTGTTGTGTTTTTCTAGAAAAGTCTTTCTTTCAAAAAAAAAAAAAAAGAAAATGTAGGAATGAATCAGTGCAAGCTAAGTATTGGTAACTCAGGACAGTTCCTGCAGCTCTAGACTAATCTTGCTGTACAATATACTAAAAGCCCAGGGTTTGTGGCTTTTTTATATTTGCTTCTAACACTATAAATTTTGTGACAATTGGAAAACAAGAAGACCATGAAAGTCAAAATAAAAGAACAAAGGGATAAAAAATTGAAATGGAAAAATCACTCACTTGTCCTTGCTGCTGTTATATTCTAGCTCTTCTGCTTTCTCTCCGTTGCTTTATTTTTCCTGTCCTCTGCATGCTACAGCTTCACCTTGGGACATATATTCCCAATTCCAGGAATCCACATTATTTGGAAAGCCAAAGGAAAATTAATGTTCCCATTGGAATTCTCCTCTCCAGCCACTTTAACAGCCCTTTTTCTTCATTTTATTGTACAGTCCAGAGGTTCTACAGAATTCCATACATATTTGGCAAGGCTACTATTGCAACTAATGGGTGCCCTGCCATAGAAGATGCAAACCACACAACAAAATAAAAATTAAAAAAAGAAAATAAGACCAAGGCGACTTGAGGATATTCTTCAGAGAGATGACTGAACACAAGAGCAGAGCTTTTAGGAGGAAGCTTCTTCTATAGTCACTAGCCTCCTTATAGGCTATGAAGTTATTTACCCAAAGAATACTTTTCTATACTATTCTATACTTCATACTAATGCTTTTCTATAGCATTAATCCTACCTAAATTGAATACTGACCTCTTTTCCATACTCAGTGATATTTTGTTTACATTCTGTGGTGTCTCCAAATGGCATATAACTTTAACTGCTATTCCTATTAGGGTTACAAATGCAACCCAAGTTTTTGGCTGTATTTACAATAGGCTAACATCCTTGAAATGAGACCTGTTTTTTCGTGCCCTTTAAGGGTATCTTTTGTAAAGATATAGAGAGAAAAAACTCACTGTAAGTAGTTTTACATTTAGTGTAACTACAAACCCATCCCAGATGTATGCTAGACAGGGCTCCCAGCTCAGGGGAATAGGAAGAAAAAGCAGCTCATTTTTTCCCCCTGGGCAGTGTGTGCAGAAGAGGACCTATGTACTGACAGAAAGCTGAGAATTCTTCCTGCCATCACAGCTTCAGCATGAAACATTACTCTGAGATGTTTGTACCTCATCAAATTTCCATTTCATCAACTTTACTACTAGATTCAAATGGCTGTGAAATCAAACAGCATTTAATTTTACTCC